CTGGGCTGGCTTAGGGTTTCTGTGGGCAGGGGGAGCAGCCTGAGGCCTCCTGTGGGAGGACCCTGAGCCCAACTTAAGTTCACATCCCCTGTGTCGCAGGGCGGGCGCGAGGCCAGGCGCCTCCCGGGTCTCCTCCCGCCCCCGCGGCCCAACTCCAGCCCCAGCCAGAACAAGTTGCGCCGGCGGCGGAGAACCCAGCTGAGGGGCCGCCGGCGCGACATGCCGGCTGTCAAGAAGGAGCTCCCGGGCCGCGAGGACCTGGCCCTAGCCCTGGCCACCTTCCACCCGCCCCTGGCCGCGTTGCCGCTGCCGCCGCTGCCTGGCTACCTGGCGCCGTTGCCCGCCTCCGCCGCCCTACCCCCGGCCGCCTCGCTGCCCGCCGCCGCCGCCGGCTATGAAGCACTGTTGGCGCCGCCGCTCCGCACCTCGCGCGCCTACCTCAGCCTGCACGAGGCCGCCGCCCACCTCCACCTGCCCCGGGACCCGCTGGCCCTCGAGCGCTTCTCGGCAGCCGCGGCTGCGGCGCCAGATTTCCAGCCACTGCTGGACAACGGGGAGCCTTGCATAGAGGTGGAGTGCGGCGCCAACCGCGCGCTGCTCTACGTGCGCAAACTCTGCCAGGGCAGCAAGGGTCCGTCCATCCGCCACCGCGGCGAGTGGCTTACGCCCAACGAGTTCCAGTTCGTCAGCGGCCGCGAGACAGCCAAGGACTGGAAGCGAAGCATTCGCCACAAAGGTGCGGCCGCGGTGGGGGACCAGCGGGCCAGACCCCCCTCACTCCAGGGGGACTCGCGGGCCGTACCGCCCTGACTCTGCTGCCAGGGAGACCCGTTTCGGCCCCGAGGGGGCGCTGCGGGTCTGGGGCTGCGCAGGAACAGCCCCCTCCCCGCACGATCGCCCTGGCGGGCCGGGACAGAAGCCCAGGGGAAGTTGACGACAACTCAGTGGAGCTGACGGGAGGCCGGCCCGGCGGGACACCTTCCTGCCCGAGCGCGGACCTCGGTTCTGGAGAAACTAGAGGGGCGCACGTGCAGTCCGGGTGCGGGGGCGCGCTGGTGGAAGGAGAGGGAAGGCGCCGGGGCGGTGCGGGCAGGTGGGGGCGGCGCGGGGACGCGCGTCGGAGCGAGGGCGCGCACGGAGCCCGAGTGGCTGGGCCAGGCGCAGCCTGTTCATGCGCCTGCCGGAGCCTGCCTCCAAAGGCGCGACGTGTGGGCGCCTGAGTAGGAACGTGGGGGAACGCGGGGAACGCCAGGCACAGTAAGGGAGTTGGAAAGTTAGGGACCGGGTGGCGAAAGACTTTGGGGTTTGCGACTGCGGTGGCCGCCCTTTCCCGCCGCTGAGGTGGGTGCAGACCCGGGTCCCTACGGCGCCGCACCACTGACCGGGCTCGGCATTCCTTCAAGCAGTCCCTAGTTCCCGGAGGAGGGAGGCGGCCAGGAGTGGGAGGAGCGCGGGGAGAGACGCAGGGGCGGGGAGGAGACCGCGCCTCTGGCCGGAAGGGCGCTCGCTCCGAGTTAGGTTTAGAGTCCCGCAGATACCCATGATGGCGTCCGCTAGGGTGGGCTGGGCGGCGGGTCGGGAAGTTGCACCTAGAGGGGACGGGGGATGGTGTGGTTCATACATGTGCCTCTGGCTGCGCCCCTGGAAGGCGTGCCACCCGCGCGAGGTTCTCCTGTTCCCGACTCTGGCCCTCACCGGTGCTGCCTTTGGCTCTCCTTGTAGGGAAAAGTCTGAAGACGCTTATGTCCAAGGGCATCCTGCAGGTGCACCCTCCCATCTGCGACTGCCCTGGTTGCCGAATCTCCTCCCCAGTGGTAAGAAGGGGGTGTAGTTGGGGGTGCAGGGTCTGTATCTCTCTGCATGCTTCTGCTGGTGTTTTCAAGGATGGGGAGTTGTGCCCTCAACCTTGAGAGTGTGCTGGAGGGCGCCTCTGAGGGGGTGGGGAGGAGCCTGAGGGGACGCCAGATGCAGTATTGGAATCCTGGGGTGGCCCAGCCCCCTCCCTGTTTGGATGCCCGACTACTGCCTGCCTGTCCTGGAGTCTTCTTTGGGGTTTTGGAGCTGCTTCTCCAGAAGCTCAGGGTGTGGGATCCTCTCCCTGGATGTTGTCACCTGATTGAGCCGAGGAGCTGTCCCTCTCGCAGGTCTAGAGGGCACCGGGTGGTCTGGCCCAGCTGTAAATGGTGCCAATCCAGGGTAATACTCGTTCTGGGGTGGCCACAGCTTTGGGTGTGGACATGCATCTCTGGTGTGCTGGGGGCTGGAGCCCTGCCCTGGAGGAGCCTGGACTCCCAGGAGTGTCCTGGGGACCCATTGGTTGAGATGTGTCCATGCAGAGTGGCCTTTGGTGACAGGAGAGCAGGGCTGGAGGGTGGCAGCCTGCAGGGCCCTGACATAGGGTAGAAATACGTGGATCACTCACTGAGGAGTGGGGGAGAGGGAGTGCTTCCTGGAAGCATTGCCTCGGCCCCTCAGCAGTCCCCTGGGCATGGAGGTGTGCTCTGACATTGCACTCTGAGAGGGTCCAACCTGGACCCCAGGGAGAAGTGACTGGAGTGGGGGTGGGGTGGGGGAGCTATTCCTGGCTCCTCTCAGGAGCCCCTTCTCCAGGAAGGGGTTGGGAGCAAGGGGCCCTGCAGGTACCCATGTGGGCTTGTTTCCTAGGACTGTTAGTGGGATGGGGGAGGGCAGTGTCCTAGGGATGCTGGGGACCTTGGGGGCAAGTCAAACCTGGGGACAGAGATAGCAGATTGGTTGTGGATCAGTGCTTTACAGACACCCCCTCCGTGGGCAGGACTATCCCCCACAAATACTCCACAATACTGCATGAGAGGGGAAACACCCATAGTTCACCATGTGCCCACCCCAGGGGTCCTTATGTACCAATAGACCCAGATCAGCTAGACTCAGGGGAGCACAAAGAGGTCCCACCCCACTGGTCCAGCTTCAAACCAAAATTCACTGCCATCAAGTTGATTCCAACTCACAGAGACCCGGTAAATCTTTACAGAAGTAGATTGCCCAATCTTTCTCCTAATGAGTAGCTGGTGGGTTTGAACCACCAACCTTCTGGTTAGCAGTCAGATGCCTTAGGTACTTCACTACTAGAGCTTCTCTGGTCTTGTCTACCTACTCTTTAAGGCAAGAGGCCAGATGGAGGGTTCTGTTTCCCCCCTACTTCTCCATGTAGCCAGTGCTGGAACACGGGCCTCTGGGAAACCCTGGGCTGGCTTAGGGTTTCTGTGGGCAGGGGGAGCAGCCTGAGGCCTCCTGTGGGAGGACCCTGAGCCCAACTTAAGTTCACATCCCCTGTGTCACTGTGGGGAATAGATTTTTCTCTTCATCTCCAAGGGGAACCCTAAGATGCAGAGAGGGGATAGGCCACAGCCCAGGGCTGCCTACGCTGAGTATCTCCCCTCCTGAGCCTGGCCCCTTCTGGGCTTGCCCTGTAGCCCTTCCTTGGGAAAAAGACCTGCAGGCCTCCTATTATTTCCATTTGTTGTCCCTCAGAGTTACAGACAAGCACAGCCAGGCCACATGTGCTGCACATTTCGTGGTCATGGATATCCCAGGGAACAGAACGAGGTCATGCCCCCCTCCCCCAACTGTCCATGTGCTATTGGATGGGTGGGGGTTGGCACCCTGGCCTTAAACTCAGAGGGCTCTGTGGCTATCCTTGGGGGAGCCAGCCTCGTTCTCAGCAACCCCCTCGGGCAGCCCCAAGCACCACGGCCACATCTTGGCCTTCTCCCTAAGGCAGTCCTGCTGCCTCATCCCTCTTCTCCGTCACACAAACGAGGCAGGGGGACATGTTGGCAGAAAGGCAGGAGAGGAGAGGGTGGGGTGAGGGTGAGATGGGGCCCTCCTGAGGCCTTCTTGGTGCCCTCGTCTAAGGCTGATCTCTTCCAGAGGCCAGATCCTGGTGCTTGGGCTACGGCAGCCTAGAGAGGGATAGAGCTAAGCAGGGACTTCCTGGCAGAGTGCAGCTGTCAGGCCCACCAGGCAGCTTCAGACTACTCCCCTAACCCATAGCCAGCCCAGGTCCTCCAACCCTGTCGTCAGACCCCGCTGCCCTACCCATCCTCATCCCTACACTGCCAAGTCAACCTGAAGAGTGTTTATTAGGGAGAAGGAAACGAGGGTATTTAAAACAAATGTGGCAAGGCCATTGCCCCAGGTCCCATGGGAGTAGCAGACTGTAGCCCCCCAGATCTAATGGAGGGGGTGAACCATAGGTCTGGATCCCATGTGGGGTAGGGAGAGGCTGTAGCCCCTGAATCGCAGGGAGGGAGTCTGTGGTGCACATCGCTGTTGGGACACATGTCCAGAGGTGACAGTGACTCTGGGTACAGAAGACCTTTTACCCAGCCCCAGGGGCTGTTACTGGAGGAGTGAGACTCTCTGTGAAGCCCTCCTCTTCAGGCTCACAGACCTGATGGGACACATCATCCTGTCAGTGGGAGAGGAGGTCTGGGAAAGCCCCAAGTGGCTGAAGGCGTGAGCGGGAATAAGAGAGTCCCAAGGGCCCACTGCCTCCCTGAGCTAGCAGCCCACTGGAGAATGGTCAATAACTCCTTCTTTGCCCAGGGGTGATGGGGCAACAGACACCTGCAGAACTGCCCTTCTCTGCTCACGCACCTCCCACATGCTCTCTGTGCACACATGTGCTGTGCAGATGCATGTCCTTGATACACAGGGGCTCTGAGAATGCCTGTACTCTGTGTGGGGCCTTATGCCTGTGTGTGTCTGACCCTTGGAATACACCTCCTGCCACATTCCCACCCCCCCACCCCCACCACCACGACCACCATGAACACCATGGGCCAGGCCTTGGAGAGAAATCTGCATCCCTCAATCCTGGTCCCTCAGGGTGAGGTTGGGGTGAGTGGGATTCACACAGCAGGGGAGCCCAAGAAGGGAGCAGGGTGAAGGGCACACTGCTCACTTCCCTACTACAGTCACAGGTCACAAGGAACAGGGACTGAGTCTAGAGTATGGACAGGGTGGCCCCCAGCATACCTGGTCTGACCTCACAACCCTATAATCCTCTGGCCCTGTGGGCTGTGCCTGACCCCAGGCCTTGGCCTGAGCATTGTCTTCTGGCTCCCGGGGACTGTACTAGAGGCTGGGGATCACCTCCACTGCAGTTAGGCCAAAGGGTACTGGGTTGTGCTTATTTATCCTCAGTGGTGGCCCTGAGGGCTTCTGTGACCCCCAGGCCTGGGAGTTGGCCTGACCTTTTTCTTTACCTACCTGTGCAGAACCGGGGCCGACTGGCAGACAAGAGGGCCATCGCCCTGCCCCCCGCACGGGTCCTGAAGAAGGAGCCAGCCCCCAGCTTCCTGGCCAGTGATGGCGCCAGTGACGGGAGCAGCCTGGCCTGCAGGCGGCGGCCGGGTATGAAGAGGGAGGACGATCTGCGCGTCAGTATCATGAAGAGAAGGTGCGTGGCTGGGATCAGCTGCCAGAGACTTGGGGTGGATGGGGAGGCTGGGGCGGAGGAGGGGACAGAAGAGGGAGGAAGGGAAGGACAGGAAGGGCTTGCTGGTCCCATCCCAGGCCAGGAAGCAGAGCCTTGGCCCAGGGTTTGGCCAGTGGGGTACCGCCTTCCCCATGGGGGCCATATCAGTGGCTCTCCTGTCCTCACTCTCCCCCCAGGCTTGGGCCTGACCTTTCTGATTGCTGCCATCTCTACTCCTGGAAGAGGCACCTTCAGCTTTCTATCTGTCTAGTCACCCTCTTGTCCATCCACCCATCCATTCATCCATCCATCCATCCATCCATCTGTCCACTCACCCATCTAATTCATTCATCTGTCTCTTTGTCCATCTGTCTATTCATTTGTCCATCTGTCTGTCCATTGGTCCATCCGTCCAACCCATACATCCCTAGCATCTCCAGGCCCTTCCTTTTCCCACTTGGCCTTTTCACATGTTCCCGTTGCTCTCCTAAAATCACCCTCCTGAGCCCCATGTCTGGCCACTGTGCACCTTGTTTGTCCACCCACGTCTACAATGGCTCCTGGCCACCTCCCCTCAAACCTGGGGTATTTCTGGGAAGACCGCTTGCTCTGACCGAGATGCTGGCAGTGAGACATACCGACCTTACCTCTTTCCCTGCAGGGTCCACACCCACTGGGATGTGAACATCTCCTTCCGAGAGACATCCTGCAGGTAGGAGCCCTTGCTGGCCCCAGTCTGCCTTGACTCCTGAGCCGCCTCCTACCTCTCTTCTGCCTGTGGGTCTGTGTGTCTGTCCTTTGTTCGCTATCTCCTTGTGGTTCTTACCCTGGCCCCTCTCCATGAGGCTTTCTCAGGTCTATGCAGACTCAGGCTGCATGGGAAGAAGAAGTGAATCTGAGATAGAGGCAGGAGTGAAAAGGAGGGGGCTGGAGGAGATAGGGCTCAGGGGGCCCTTGTTCTGCTCCAGGGTGCAGGGTGGCCAGTCTTGGTTTCTTATTCTCCAATCATCTGCAGCACTGGGGCTCCATCCCAGCAGGGCATCAGGCAGAGCAGGTAGGTCCTGGTGGAGCCAGCCTTCCCAGGCCCCCTGGTCCTGCCTCAGGCAGGATGTGTTGATATTTATGGCTGTGAGAGCGCTGCAGGGGCCTGGAGCCGAATTACAATAAAAACATCTTTAAACTTATTTCCACCTCATTTTGGAGTTGCCAGCTCAACTGATCATTTTTATGAACCGTCATGAACATTGATGACATTTTATGAGCCTTTTACTTGGGACATTACAAGATAAATTTGTCCGTGAGGTCTGAAGGAGATCCCAGTGCTGCCTCCACCCAGGAGGGGGTCCTTCTGCCATGCCTGCCCCCACCCCAACCGAGGGAAGCAGGGAGTGCTGACCACTGAGGGGACCTGGTCCGACTGTGAGGCCAGGAGGGGCCAGACACCATCCTGATTTCATCAGGGGAGCTGCCGCTGGCCCCCACAGGGATGGCAGTACATCCTGCTGAGGGCTTGTGGAGTCGGCCTATGCCCAGTCTCCCCAACGCTCCCCCCAGCTCTCTGCCTGTCTCTCTTCCTGGCCCTTCCTGTCTGTCCTTCGGTCTCTTGTCTCTGTCCATCTGTCTCCATTATCTGTCCACCTGTTTCTGTGCCTGTCTCCATCCGTCTATCAGTCTCTATTATGTCTCCTTCATCTGTCCATCTGTTTTTGTCCATCTGTCTCCAGCCCCCTCTCCATCCACCTGTCTGTCTCCACCTGTCTGTCTGTTCCTTCATCCAGCTCCACTTCTGTCCATCTGTCTACATCTCCTACTCTCTGTCCCCCTGTCTATCTGGTTGGAGCAGTTGGAGTGAGCAAAACCCTATCTACAGGGTTCTGCCGGCTGTGCCCCCTCCAGTGTCCATGCAGAACCCCGGGCAGCAAATGCTCACTGGCTCCCTGGTTTTCATGGGTGACGTGATCCCTGCTCACCCGAGACCCCAGGCTGGTGGGAGGCTTCAGGCCCTCCCCCTCCCCAGCCTCTCCAGTGCAGAGACTGTGCGGTTACTCTGTGGTTCTTTACATAGCACCTGGCCTAACGTGCTCGGTGATCAGACAGGCTACCCCTGTGTTCAGCTGGAGAGGTCCTCGTGGGGAGAAACAACAGCTAGGAGCTCCACAGGGCATGTGCTTTCTGGGTCCAAGACAAAGGCCAGGGGTCCTCAGCATCCCCCTGCCTGCGTGTGCAGCTTCTTGGACACCCTTCAGGGCTCAAATCAAGTCCTTGTGTAGCTGCTGGGCTGGGGATTGTGGAAAACCAACCCTGGGGTTCTTCCTTCCTGAGTCCTTGGGAAGTAGATTCGCCTGCCATGAGAGTCTGAGCAGGGACCCCCGGCAGCAGGACAGCTCAGCACCTGGGCTGCCCTCCCCCTCCCCAGTGCTGAGAACAGCAGTTCTTTCTCTGACACCCCCCTCGCCCCTGCATTGATGAGGATGATGGAGGGGATGAGATTCGCTGGGAATTAATCCCATAAAGTACTTACCTGGGCCCACCTGTTTGCATGGGGGGGGCAGTTTGAGGGGACCCGCATCTGGGTCTCCTGGAAGGCTCCAGGGCCTCTGCAGCCCAGGCTTTGGAGCTGAAACGGATCTGATTAGGAGCCAGCCGGGATTAGCCCCGGCTGCCGGCCCAGGCCAGGGAGGCTATTTAATGAGGTTTAAGGTCAGGGTTTCCTGGTCACTCGTGGAGGCTCCGTGTGCTGTGGCCCAGCTGAAAGGCCGCTCTATCACAGGTGGGCTGGGCACGGGTGCCGCGTGTGGAGGGTGGGGGCCTGGCTGTGTGCTTGAGCTACAGGCAGCCTTCCTGTGCTCAGGAAGTCACCCTGGGGTTCCTCTTGCCTCCTCCTCTCTGGGCTCTGTGGGTGTAGGATCCAGCTGACTTAGCAGGAAGAAGAAAAGCTAGGCAAAAAAAGAGTTAAACGCATATTTGTTCCCAGTTCACACAAGCCTGGCTTGCTCTGATTCTTAGGCCCAGGCAAACCTGGATCTCTGTCCTTGTGCAGCTGTGCACTACATGTATCTATGTGTTCTCCTGTACATGCATGTATGTGTCTGTGTCCCTGTGTGTGCACATGTTCCGATGTATGCATGTGTATATATATCTGTGTGCATATGTCTCCATACATGTGCTGTCCCCGTCCTCTCATGTATGTCCTCACGTGCACTGTATCCCTATATGTGCACATGAATGTATCTGTGTGTCCCTGCATGTGTGTGCATCTGTGTCTCTGTGTGTCCGTGTGTGTGTGTTCCTGCATGTGTGTGTCTGTGTTCTCATCTGTATTTCCATACACACATATGTATGTGGGTATGTCCCCATGTGTACTTCTGTGTGGACACATGTGTGCCTCTCTGTGTGTGTCTTTGTGCACGCATGTATCTGTCAGCCACAGGAATTCAGTCTGAACCTCTTTTCCTTGTTCCTAGAACAAATTAAGTATTGTATCTACCTGGGGGGCGATACATTATAATTTCAATGATTCAAGCCATATTCCTAGTGTGGCAGTGAGGCTGTAGCCTGTGGCAGGTTTGTCCTCTCTGGGTGACTGTCCTGCAGGAACAGACCCCTGCTGGGAGACAGGGCACAGCTGAGTCCTCTTGCAAGACAGCAACTGCAAGACTGTCCTGGAGCTGGGCAGATCTGATCGTGAGCTGCACCATGGCTGCTGCTCAGTGCACACGTGCATATCAGTGCACACACACCACTTGCAGGCCCTGCACACTTATCACGGTGCTACCTCATGCCTTGCATCCAGGGGGATTGGCCTTGCTGTGCCTGGTCTGGGCACTTGGGTTGCCCCAGCTGCCTGCCCTTCTTCTCTCTTGCTTTGTCACAGCCAGGACAGTGACCTCTCCACTCTCATATCCAGTGTGCACCGCAGCCGCCACCTCGTGATGCCTGAGCCCCAGAGCCGCTGCGAATTCCAGAGAAGCAGTGCGGAGCTCGGCCTGGGAGCCGCAGGTGAGGGCTGGCGGGGATGGAGGGGTGGACGAGCTCAGCTCCACGGGGATAGCCCCACCCCATCCAGGCGTCTGTGCTCAGCAGCCTGGACGCGCCACCCCCAGCAGCCTTGGCCGGCAGCCAGGAGGCCAGTGAGGCGGAGGTGGCGAGGCCGCCTGTCCCCCGGGGCGCCTCGTGATGGTAATTGTGTTAATCCCGGCCAGGCAGACGGGAGGCGGGGCTGTGGCTCCACTGCTGCCGCCGCCGCCGCCGCCGCCGCTGCTGCTGGTTGGGGGCTTGCAGCCGCCAAGGCCACTGCTGCCCTCCGCACGGGATGATGCAGGCCCCTAGACTTGAATACACAGCCCTCACAGAGGCTCAGAAACGGCCAGGATAGCAGAGACTTGCTCCCTGCAGCCCAGGGCAGACCTCTGCGGGAGGAAATCAGAGAAAGGGGCATCCCTGGGAACCCAGCCCCAGGCACCTTGCAGAGCATTGGTCAGGGGACTAGAGTCCCAGTGACTTGGCCACTCCCAAGAAAGCTGGGCGGCCTGCGCTCTGCTGCCTTGGCTGGGGTCCCCTTTGGTACACCCAGCTGCCAGCCCTGGAAGGCGGGGGCTGCGCTGAGCCAGGCTGGATGAGGCGGCCAAGCGGCTGATAAAATCTAATTGCCCCATCGATTGGGCGGAGCGGCTCCGCCATGATTGAGATGTTCTGAGCCAGCAGGGCCTCCCTGTGGCCGCCTGCACACGAGGTCCCCATGTGCGTGTGCATACACAGCATGTGTGTGCTCAGCCGCACCCCAGTTCCACTCACACCTGTGTCCTTGCGTCCTCAAGTGCATTTGTTGGGTGCCATATGCTTTGCCTGAAGTAGTACCATGTGTGCCATGCGTGTGTCACATGTGTATGCATAATGGTGCATACAGATTTTAAATATGTATCCATGTATCCATACAAATATGTATCCATGCCCCCCTGTTTGGCTGGGGGTCATTACCTGCTCTTGCTTCCTGAGACCCCCTAGCCCTAGCCCCTCCCCAAATAGGCACACATGCGTCCCCTCCCAACCTTGTCAGAGGCTTGGGAGCAGATCTTTGCCCACATCTGTGACAGCGTGAGCCCACCTGTGTGTCTGCAGTTGTTCTTGGGGCACCCTTGCTATCCCCAGCATGTCCTGCGAATACAACCTTCCTCAGGAACTAGAGACCTCGAGCTCCCATGGCAGCCCCTCGCCCAGGCTGTCATGTTCTGGGCTTCCCCGGAGTAGAGAAGAGCCCCCCCGCCACTCTCACCCCACCCGGAAAGGGGAGGAGAGTTCCAACTGCCTGGAAAGTTGGAAACAGGTTGCTGCCCAGGGACAGCCTCTGGGTTATTTATAGAAAGGCCTCCTCCCTGCATCTGTCCCTAGAGGGGTAGGTGTGGGGGTGCTGGGGGAGTTGTGCACCCCCCTCCTGCCTCTGTCTCTCCTACTCCGGGAGACCTGGGAACCAGACCTGCCTCCCTGCCAATTGTTGCCAAGTACCCCAACAGTCCATCCAGACGGGTTCAGCCTGCCTAGTCCTCAGACACTGTCCCTCACTTTGGGGCAGGCCTGGGGCTGGGGAACAGGCCTGGGGCTGGGGGACAGGCTGCCCCAGCCAGTGGAGGTAAGGTGGCTGAGATCAATAAGTTATTAGCACCATTCTGTCAGCTGTAATGTGGAGATTGATCGGCTGCTCTGATGCTGCGCACTTCCCGGCCTGATAAAAATGACAGATTAAGGGAATAAGAAAAAGGAATTAAGCTTTGGAGCTGACGGCCAGGCTTCCGGGGCAGACCCAGGTCTAGGAGCCCATTCTCTGGGTCCCAGTGGTGGGTCCTCAACGTGCTTGATGGGAGGCTCCTGAGGGTGGGGAGGGCCCAGGCCCTGTCAGGGAGTGCCACCCGAGGGCTGGGTGAACGGATACAATAGGCATGGGTTCGAGTGTCTGTGGGGCTTGCACCAGTGTAGAAGATGGATTTGTGTGGCTCAGGGCTGTGGGTGGCCCTGTGTGGGGCTGAGGAGGCAGCCCAGCCTCAGGGATGCAGGGCCAGGCATGCAGGTGGGCAGAGGTACTACCTAGCCCAGGAGTGGGGACTCTGCCTACAGCCAGGGGTGGAGTGGGGTGTGCTTACTCCACACACCTTCCCCACCCCATCTCCAGACTGGCATGGGACCCTGCATCACCCACCCCTCTCTGTCCTCGCCAACACCCGCCCTTCCCTGTCCTCACCAAATCAAAAGTATCTCATTCTTCTGCATCAATGCCATGAGGCTCTGTAGTAAGCCTGACCTGGCAGCAGGGTAGCCTGAGGCGTCCTGAGCTTCCCCAAGGCCTTTCATGCAGCATCTCACACTTGTACATAAGCCCCAGAGCCCAGGGACGGGCTGTCCTGCCCCTTTGCTCCTTCCTCCACTCCTTCACGATGGATGTCCTTAGTTACTGGGACCCTGGGCTGGACCCACCCTTGGTCCACCAGGACCAACAGGAGGATGGGAGATTGCATGAGGGGAAGGGGCTGGGTTCCTGAGATGCTCCTTCCCACAGGTGACCTATTGGGCAAGAGGCTGGGCCCCTCCCCCCACATCAGCATTGACTGCCCATCTGAGAAGAAGGCCCGAAGAAGCAGCGAGTCCCCCTCAGGTGAGAGCCTGACGACGGAGAGGGGTTGCTGAAGGAGGGAGAAAGAACTCAGCCCTGAGTATGCTGGGACCTTGTGCAGGAGGAGTTCACAGGGCAGGACCAGCCTCCTAAGCAGGGTCTAAGGGAAGAGGCCCGGCCCCTTCCTCTCAGCAGGGTCTAAAGGAGAAGCCCCCACCTACCCTTTGTGCTCCCTAACCAGAGACTCTGCTGCTGCCGGAGCTTGGGCCAAGTATGGCCCCTGAGGAGCATTACCGCCGCCTTGTGTCGGCGCTGAGTGAGGCAGGCACCTTCGAGGACCCACAGCGGCTCTACCACCTGGGCTTGCCCAGCCACGGTATGTGCTTGACCGGTGCCCACCCAGAACATGCCATCATCTCTGCCCAAATTCCATCCAGCCGCTGACCTGCCTTGAAGGCTGGCCGGCCCACACTGTCCCTTCTCCTACTCTCTATCTCTTCTAATGGCCACACCCACGTCTCCCATGGGCCACCTTTTCCTGAGGTTGGATGAGGAAACTAAGTCCCAGGCCCGCTGCCCCGTAGATGAGGGTCCTCTCAGTCTGTGTCACGTCTGTCTTCCTTTCGCTGAAAAGTCAGTTACCCCGCCGCGGGGCCAGTTAGGGGATGTGGACCCTCAGTCAGGAGTGACCAGACCCTGGGTGAGTGTCCATGGCCTCGAGCATCCACGACTGGTGTGGGTAAATGGAGTAGAAGATAGTAGGGGGTTGGCTGTCCCTGCCCTCTCCTACCTCCCACCCTGTGGTCAGTCCAGCTGCATCCTGGCCTCTCCCTCCAAGCCAGTCAGGGGAGCCCTGGCTTTTCTAGCAGGAGGGAGTGCACCCAGAAAGGGGGCAGGGTTTCCTCTCTGCACACAAGGCACTGTCCCCCAGGGCAGCTCAGGCACTGCGAGCCTGAATAATTCACCAAATGTTAATAATTTAAAAATCTTCCTTTTTAATTGCTTTCCCTGCCCTGCCTGGGGCCGCTGCTGGCCGGTGAGGGGGAGGGGTACGGGCCTCGCGCCCGGGGAGCTGGCTGTCAATCACGGTCCCCGCCGCGGAGCCGCCACCCCCGCTGTGGAGCCGACTGTAAATAACCACGGCCGTGGCGCGGGGGCGGCGGAGGCACCGCTGGGATCGATGCGGGCGGCCGCGCCTGCTCGGCTCTGCAGGCTGGCATCCGGCCTGGGGCAGGACCGGCCTCCGCTTTTCGGGTAATTAATTTATAAACAGCAGCGGCGGAGCCTGCGCAAGTGGGGGATGCGGGAGGGATTCAGGGTTGGCCCTGAGCAACCTGGAGACTCGCGTGTGCAGCAGTGGTTCAGACATATTTTGTGTGTCATGTGCCTGTGTGTGCATGTACCTAGAGGTGCATACGTGTGCCTGTGTACCATGTGCCTACCTGTGCACACATGTGCCTGCATGTGTTATGCGTATGTGCTTATGTATGCTGTTTTGTGTGTATACTGTATCTGTGCATACTTTGTGCCCACATAAGACCATGTATCATACATGACCCCTCTCTCTGTCAGCTCTGTGTCTGGGGGATCTCTGGAACTTTCCTGCTTTCCCACCTAGTAGGGGTCTTCTTAACAGCAGCCTGAGTCAGCCCAGGGTTGAGGCACACCTGTCTTCCCCCTCCAACTCCTGGTCTCCTCTCCAGCTGCTCTCCCCACCCCATGGCCACAGCCTGTGCCCTCATGTCTGCCCGGTTCTTTTCAGTCCCCTCCTTCAGGCCTACAGCTCTGTAGACCCCACCTTGCTCCTTGCATGTGTGCATATGGGATCTCTTTCTCTAACAAAATCCAAACCCAGCAGGATCTGGTCTGCACACTTTTACATGCCTGGCTCCCCTGCCTGGAGTGCCCTTTGCCTCCTTCCAGCCTCACTTTGGTTAATAACATCCCGGTGCCCCTTTTGAAGGATCCACTGATGCCAGTCCCAACCCCCAGCATCTTCTAGCCCTTATTGCACTGTGGTAGTGATTCATCTGTCTCCCTTGCCCTACTGTGTGCTACTAATCTTTCTGTCCTGGTGATCAACCAGCCCAGGATCAGTGTGAGGACCTGGTCTACAGTACGGTCAGTGTCTGCAGGCTAGTGCACAGCAGGGTCAGTGTTCGGATCTGGTGAATAGGAGGGTCAGTGCAGGGGGCCTGGCACAGGGTAGCTTTGAGGATCTACTCTACTGCTTCCTGGTCCCCTTGATGTCCCTGGGTGAATGTTCTATGCTCACCAGGGTGGGGGGAGTGGAAGCACAGGGGAGTCTGGCCTCTGGGTCACTTCTGCCTGTCATCCCCCCAGATCTTCTGAGGGTCCGCCAGGAGGTGGCAGCTGCAGCTGTGCGGAGCCCCAGTGGCCTGGAAGTTCACCTGCCTTCGTCCACAGGTCAGCGTCGGAAGCAGGGCCTGGCCCAGCACCGGGAAAACATCGCCCCAACAGCTACCCCATCCTTCCCAGAGAGGTACTGGAGTAGGGGCTGGAGTTTGTGTTGTCAGGGAGAGAGCAGCCAGGAGAGACCCCATGTATTCTGTGCTTGCTTCTGGGGTGTGGAGGTGGGTGGGCAGGCTGTCAAGTTCAAGAGCTGAAAACCCTCCTAACTTCTCAGCCACCTTTACCAACTAGTATTCATACCCATTGGTACATGCCTCCCTCTCACCATGGGGCCACATATGCAGGTACTGAGTGCCCCCAGGCTGGGTGTGCCCAAGGCTCATGCTGAGCTGGGAGACAACAAGAACTATTCTAGGTTAGAAGGGGTAGGGGTGGGGTTGACCACAGTATGGGAAACTGGGGGACCACTGATTCCAAGTGCCTTAGGGCTTAGATTCCTTATAGGTATGCCAGGGAACTGGAGGCAGAGGCAGGATGTGGTGGGAGATCTGGAGACCCCCAAATCAAGGAGGGTATCAGCTTGGGGACTCTGGAGCTGGGGGGGGGGGCACAAACTCAGGAGCTGTCAGCACACAGAGGCCGCCTCAGGTGTCAGCGGGTCGGGTCGGGGGACCTCAAGAGACACCACAGCAGGAAGCTGGCAAGGAGGCGGGAGGGGCTGCGGCGGCTCTCCTTCCTGGCCGCGGAGGTACCCATAGCTCCCCGCCCTCTAGCACCTCACCCCCCCTACCCCACCCCCGCTGCCGACCCCTTTACGCCCAGCGGCGCGTCTGCAGCTGCCTCCGCCGCCTCCCGGACTGCGGGCTAATTACGCCGCGCCCGGCCCCTGTAGAGTCCGCAGGGGGGTGGGGAGGGTACAAGAGGGGAGAAGGGGGAAGGGGAGACGAGGGAGAGGGAAAGGGAGCGGGGAGGCGACGGGGGCTCCCCCGGCACGCCCCGCGCGGTAATTACCGCTGCAGTCGCGCCCGCCGCCCGCCGGGTCAGCGCCTCCGCGCCGCCGCCCGAGATTAATTGGCGCCGCCGGCGGGGGCGGGCACGACCTAGAGCTGTAACGAGCGGCGCATCGACCGCCCGGTCGGCGGGCAATTAGCGGAGGCGGCTTTGGGGGCGAGGTTCCGGGAATTGGGGGCGCGCAGGGCGGGGGCCCGGGGTCGCGGTGTGCGTAGCTCACTGCCCCGCTGTACACAGGGAGCTGTCGCAGCCGCCCCCCCTGCTGTCGCCCCAGAATGCCCCGCACATTGCTCTGGGTCCCCACCTCAGGCCCCCCTTCCTGGGGGTGCCCTCGGCTTTGTGCCAGACCCCAGGTGAGGAGCGGGCGGGTACGCGCGAGCCCTTTGTGTCCTGGGGGGCCGTGAGTGCACGCGCCTGAGCGTCGGGGCGACTGTGGAGCACGAGTGCTCTGGACCGAGGACAGAACTGGGTGGGGTGGGTGGCCTGGACCACTCGGCCACCTGGTCCCCGTGGCTTGCCCCCCCCTTGCCCCAGGCTACGGCTTCCTGCCTCCTGCCCAGGCAGAGATGTTCGCCCGGCAGCAGGAGTTGCTGCGGAAACAGAACCTGGCACGGTAGGTGCACCCGCGCTGGCGTGGGAGTGGGCAGCGCGTCCATGTCGCTGACCCCTGCCCTTCTGGCCCAGGCTGGAGATGTCCGCTGAGCTGCTCCGGCAGAAGGAGCTGGAGAGCGCGCACCGCCCGCAGCTGCTGGCGCCTGAGCCCGCCCTGCGCCCGCCCGACGGCGCCGAGGAGCTGCAGCGGCGCGGGGCCATGCTGGTGCTGAGACACAGCTCGGCGCCGCTTCTGGCGCTGCCCCCTCAGGGCCCCCCTACCCCTCCCCGAGAGCCTGCTCGTCGGGCCGCCCGGAAAGGGGCGCCAGGACAGGCTCCACCTCGGCCCAATGAGCCCAAGGAGACTGCGGGGGCCGGACTTTGGGTACAGGATGGCTCTGAGGACGAGCCCCCCAAGGACTCCGATGGAGAGGACACAGAGACGGTGGTTCCAGGGGACCAGGGCCCCACCCTGGACCAAACCCCAGCTGGAGGAGGGGCCGGCGCAGAGGGGAAAGGAGTGCTCTCAGGGCCCACACTGCCCCCTGCATTGCCCCTGGGCCTCCCCTACACCGTCAACCCCTACTTCCACACAGGTGGGCTTTACTCCCTCCATGGGCGGGGTTGAGCCCCAGCCTGGCTCACTGGTGTGCGGGGAGGGGAACCTCTCCCAGTATGGTTCAACTTCAAGCAACCAGGGCAAGCGTGCACTCTCGCGTGGAGGGGTGTGGAGGGGGAGGGGGCGGGGGGTGGGTGGAACCAGGCATGGACTGGGTGTGGGGAGTAGCGTGCTGGGTCTCAGTGACAGCCCTCCCCCACCCAGGCGCTGCAGGGGGGCTCTTCATAGACAGGGAGGACGCCACAGCCCCTGAGGATGTCAGCAAGTGGACAGTGGATGACGTGTGCAGCTTTGTGGGGGGCCTGTCTGGCTGTGGGGAGTATGCACCGGTGAGGGGGGGCTGGGTGTACCTGGGATCCCCCCTTGGCAAGGCAGTACCACCTCCAGCAGCTTTCTCCACCCCAGAGTCCCTCCAGAAAGCAGTCAGGGGTGGGGTGGGGGTGGGGGTGAGGATGGGGATGAGGAACACACTGGTCTAGCACCACCCCCACCTCTGGTACTGGCATGTGCCCAACACTAGGGGGACTTTGTTTTCACAGTAAAGCACAAACAGCCCTGTCCTGTTCCAGAAATTCTTGGGCCATGGTTCCTGGCTGGGGTGGAAGGATCTGGGGGCAGGGACAGGCAGGCACTGGTTCTGGTCCTCAGGTCCCGACTCCCCTCACAGGTCTTCAGAGAACAGGGGATTGATGGGGAGACCCTGCCCCTGCTGACTGAGGAGCACCTGCTGACCACCATGGGGTTGAAGCTGGGCCCTGCACTCAAGATCCGGGCTCAGGTGGGCTCTAAGAGAGGGAGTCAGAATGGGGGAAGAGTCTTGATGGGTGGGCACCAAATATGAGGTAACCCTGGGAGGGAAAGTACCCTTGAGGGGTGGGCACCACCCCTTCCTCCCCCCCCCCAGGGTGCCTGCTTACCCAGGCCTGTCTCTGCAGGTGGCCAGGCGCCTGGGCCGAGTGTTCTACATGGCCAGCTTCCCCGTGGCTCTGCCACTGCAGCCACCACCACTGCGGGCCCCTGAGCGGGAACTCACAGCTGGGGAGCAGTCCCCATCCCTGGAAACAGCCACCTCCCCCTATGGCCGAGCCTCACCCCAGCAAGAGAATGGAACTGCCACCCTGCTCCCTGTGGCCACCGACCCCTCCCAGCCCCTGTGCTGAGCCCCAGTGCCCAGACCCTCCCCAGTGAGAAACTGTTGCAACGTTCCCCCTACCCCACTCCCAACTTATTTTTCCTTTTGGATTTGGATGCAAAGAACCAGACATTTTAATAGTGAGAAACGTGATTTAGAAAAGAAGTCCCAAAGACATGGGGGTGCTGCACAGCCCAGAAAGCAGCCTGTGCCTGGGCTCCCTGGGGACTGGATCTGGGGCAGAAACAGACAAACCAAAGACAGGAGACTGCCTGGGAACATGTGGGCTCCAGCCAGGCCCCAGCTCCCCTAAAAGGGGGGGGGGGGGAGGCTGGTCCAGCTCTAGGGCCTTGTGCATCCTGCAATCAGGAGGGGATAGCTTCCTTCCCACAGTGTGGGGGGCCGCAGTGGGCAGGCTCTGCATCGGGTTCCTGCCCAGGGTCACCACCAGAGGAAGCGGCCCAACTCTCGGTACGTTTGGTCTTCACGTTATAAAAATAAAGTCCTTGCCCACTGTGGGCTGCAGTGGTGCCTCAGTCCTCCTCGGAGAGCTGCAGGTCCTCTAGCTCATCCTCTGGCCCCTGGGCCAGCCTCTGCAGCTCCCTGGGGCTCAGCCCCGCCTCCACGTCTGTGCCGCCATCTGCAGGGATCGAGGCCACATAAATCCTGCTCTATCAGGAAGAGCCAGCCTGGAGGTTACTCATCACTAATTAATCATGGCACTAATTAATTTATCGGAGCCACTGTGCTGGCTGCCAGAGCAGCTGGGCCAGCCTCCCGGGACATGGGTAGTTGAGGTCTGCCTACTTAGAACTGCCCTCGGACAACCTGCCCTCTGGCCCACCCCAGGCTCCACCAGGCCAGAAGCACTCACCCTCTGAATCACTGACTTCTTCACTGCTGCTGCCATCACCACCATCTTCCTCCTCCTGTGCTGTCACCCTCTGCTGAGCTCTCAGGGACCCAGGCTCCTCTAGAGTACAAGAGTAAAGGCCAGTGAGTGGACAGCCAGCCTGCACAGTACAGCTGAGGGAACTGTCCACTCCCAGTTTGGCTATATGGGAACAACCAGCAGGTGGGGCACAGAACTGCCCTAGGGAGAGTAGAATCTGCACTGGGGCCAAAGTACCCATCTCAAGGAAGCCTAGAGCAGGATCTTAAAACCTCCACTTCAACACCGGCCAGCAAGGAGGGAGGAACCAGTGACAATAGCCACGG